ATGCGGCTATTATGTGTAAATTATTTAAATATAAACATAATTATCATAACTGATATATATACAGTTACAATTACGTAAGCGGCATGAATATTAATATAAAACAATCTAATGTGTGTATATAAAAAATAAACTTTAATAAAATAAATATGGATAACATCCGACATCAAATTAAACGATGTGAAAGTGGATTAATCAATATCGACATATAGAAACTGACGTACGGAAATAGCAAAGTTCGGCAACTTGATTAAAAGAAAATCCGGAAATTCGGTGGTACAAATCGAATTTTCGAAACCCTACTTCAACCTTCGATCGGTTTCTTATACGTGCATAAGACCTGAGATTAGCTTGGATTTGAGCGTTACGCAAGAATGACGAAGCGAATCAAGGATAACCGCGTTCAACCAATTCAACGTTATTCACGAGATTTATGAGATATAATAGTCTTATATTTTTTCCTTGCGATCGAAGATGTATGTGCGAAATATTTTATTGTTCGAAATACAGATGCTTGATTCAAAATAGATGGTTTACCCTATATATCAAAAACCGTGACATTTCGTTTCGGCGCGCGTTCAATTCTTTATTATATGAACGAAAACAGTTCTCGTTTTAGTTCCCGGCATACATTAATGTTTTAGATGAACAAACAACTTCATCGTGATAATTACATTTTAACGATGGAAAATTCACCGGAAAACATTTTATAGCTTTCGGATGGGAGTGTTTATGTTCGGCGTAATGCCTCGATAAAATAATATATATTTACGTCACTCCAGAAGATGAGTGATGTTTCGGGCAATGCCAGCACGAAAGGAAGTGTCAATGTCCTTACGCCTCGTCCTCGAACAATCCTAGCATTCTAATTGAATTCAATAAAAACCATCGAGTATGCGCACGCTTATGTGAGAAGCTGCAGTATTTGAGATGTTACTAAGCAAGGTTATCCCGCATTTAAATATTTAATTATTGTTACTCTCATAATGACTGCACCACTGAATTCTTGCTGACATAGCTAATTCCATTCCAGTAAATAAATTATGATATACGCACGTGGCATTAATTATTTCAGCTTCTCTAACTGAAATTTATATGATCTTTAATTGATATTAATATAATTTTAAATTTATTACAATTTATTCCTTAGATTATCTTCAACCGTTGATAGTTTTTATATTAATAGCACTATTCTTGTTAGTTTTAATTATACTTTCTACACTTTTTATACTTCAAATAAAATATGTTTATACGTTGGAGGAAGAATGGAAAAGCAAGTAGAAAAAGCAACATAAAATGAAATTAAAACGAATAAACTTGTTGTAGCAGCCTTCAATAATAAATCAAACAAATTTCACGATTCTAGATTGTATTGCTAATTAATACGATACGATTGTAATTCATTTTATATTTAATCTTATTGTTAGTGTAATTTTCGAAATTTTATAACAGAAAGGTAATAAAATACACATACACCCGACATAAATTAACAAGAAACGCCACAATAGTACAAGATATTATCGAACGGAATATATCGAACAAAACGTATTCACTATGCGAAGTGTCAACGTCCTCACGTTGTCCTCGCATGACCTTAGAACTTTGATCGATTCGAGTCATCGTGCAGCAATCATGAAGCAGCTGAAGCGAGTGGTACAGGACCTCGTCGGGATTTTACGAGGCCCTTGCACGAGAGCATACACATCGATCCAACTTCAACCTTTTAAATATATATGAGGTATGGAGCATTACATATTACAGTACGTTTTATCGTTACGCAGGCAGAAACACGTTTTCACCGTCGACATTATCCTGGCGAGAAAGAGAAAGAATGAAATTTAACAAGGCATATGCTGAATTAATTAGAATTCATGGCAAACTCGTCGCTAATAAGTAGACTCTGTGTTCGCATACTTGAATACTCATTCAACTCGATTACATCACAATATTTAATCTGTTTTTAATTGGATTGAGATGTTGGAGAGACCATTCTTTTTTTATATATTTTTAACAAACACGTATGATAAGTCATACAATAACGTGTAATGAGATAATATAGTCGGAGTTTTGTCTACTTTTAAACGGCTGGCTGCACATCATAGAACAGGAAGCAAGAAATGATCGGGAAAGTAAATGTCATGTACATTCTACGAATGAGACAATTCGAAATAAACCAGTAGACTGAAAAAGAATACGAGATCTTTAAAACGAAGACTGCACTTCATGTTCCAATCAAGAGAATATAGCTCGGGGCAGAAAATGGATCATAAAAGAAATCTCTCGAAAACATGTGTAACAAAAATTGCATATTACCGAGTTTTTTCGTTATTTTACTTTTTGATTCCTCATTATTTCATTATGTGACAGGATATTTTTATTCAACATAAAACGTCTTAATTAATATTGTAATTTTCACGTTCTTTAACGCGTTCTCATTTATATTTTCGTTACTTCAAAGTCGTCATTATAAAGATGCAAAACAAGCAACATTTGCAGGAGTATAAATATAGAATAAATTATGTTACACGCGAGGAGTTTATATTTTCTGCTTGTATCTTCTAAAAGTACCTACGCACAGCCGCGCCGCGGAGATCAGGTTGCAACGATACCGTGTTACATACAACAAGCTCTCTGCCGCGGATAGGCCATACGATACTAACGAAGTGTCTCACAAGGCCGAGGATGAAAGCGAGACGGCGAAGTCGAAAGACGCAAAAGAGCGTTCCGGCTGGTGAGCCGAGAACGGGAACTCTTCCGTAAACGCCACGGCAAAAGGAAAATGGAGAAGGAGCATCCGCTGCTACGTACTCAAATCGCGGAAACCAATTCTGTCCTCCGCGCAAAGACCGAGTGCCCATTTTGACGAGAAGAAGGGGAATTCAGAGAACCGAGAGAGCGGAGAGAGGCATTCGTACGCGACCATTCGCTGCAAGACGAGCGATTCGCTTCGGTGGATACCTGGTAGATTGGATCTACCACGTTTGATAGCATTTATGTCTGATTGCAGCGCGTCTCGGATAGCGAGTTTCTTGGGAAATCGACGACGGACGCACGTATAAGCGCTCGCCGCGGAGCTCGTCGTCGCCGTGGCGAGCGTCTTGCGTCTAACTCGATGTTAGCAATTATTGGTGCTCGCGGCCTCGGCGGAGGAACTAGCTTAATTGAAGAATTAGTTTAGAGACGGGGAGCTCTCGGCTCACGCTTGCGTTCTCGGCAGCGGGTGGAGCTCGAGAAACACGTTTGCGTCTCATGTGTGATCGGGGCCTTTACGCGCACGGGGAACATTAAGAACATCAGACGCCGAAAGCGACGATAATAAATCTCTTCGATTTTACGCGGTACAAGCAAGTGTTGCTATTAACGCTAAACAGCGTAAAGTGTGAGATTAAAGAGAACGTAAAGTGTGAGAATTTATTATGTGTGTAAATTAATTTATATCATAAATTAAATTACGGTTTGTATTAGATTATACTATGTTATATATATATCTAAAGGTTACATAAAAGAAATAGAAGTAATTTTGCAAAACTTGCAAACATAGCTTGTTTTTTTCAGTTGAAATCATTGAACCGAAGCACGCTTCTTCCGGTTTGTTAGCGTGCTTTGATACGTTCGATAGTTCTTCATGCACGACTCTAAGTGGGTTAAGACGCAGTATAGCTATAAAGAGATTGCCGTATTGCCGCAAAACTTGGAATTATAGATTGTGAAAATATAATAATGCTTGCGAAACGCGTGAAAGAAAAACAGAATTGAAGTCTAACAATTGATAGTGCAAATATCCAATTGTTTAACTATCTACGTATATATTCTTTCAATTACGTACATACGTTCGGTACGCGTATATAAACATTTCGAAATGTATATTTCTTTTCTGTATAAATTGTACTCACCTTGCACCTGTAGCAAGCAGAAAATAAGCAGAAAAAATGAGGATAGGCGGAGAATGCGACTAAAATGAAAACAGGAAGGTCGGATTCAGGAAAAAAAGGTGCCTCACAACCAGCTCTGCAAACAGAAAAAACACACAATAACTATTTAATTCATTTATTTGCATTTATCATATAACCACTCGTAAATATCAAGGATACGTAAACAATTAACTCGAATTAGCATATAAATTGCTTAAAACACATCTGCTTTTTTTCATATCATTAAGCTTACATTCACATTCAAAATTCAATCGCAAATATTTCACATTTTACTTCTCTCTATATTTCTACACATACAATCGACCCGTATATATTAATCTCGGCTCGCCGAAAGATCGGCTGTGCAGATCCGCAGATCCTTTTCAGTATCAGGTACGTCCTTAAGGACGCCTATTGTTGAAAATCAAACAGAAGTAAAGAATCGCAAAACGTAACATATGTTCCGTTCAAACCGACTGTTAGGAAGTGAAGAGTGGAATCAAAACACGTGAGTGAAAGCCAATTTTGATATAAACAATTCAAAATTATTTTAATTATTGTTACAAAAAGACAAAAGTTATATAATTATAAAAAATTCTAAAATCATAAGCCCGCAACATTAAGCATGTGAAAATTTTGTCAAATGTCAATTTCTATTCACCAATCTTGATCGACCATATTTTATATTTTATTGTAGCTAGAGTTATAATTTACAAAGAATCAAAGTTATAGTTGATCAAGATCTCGCAAATCACTACAAATAAAACAAGCAGTATTGCGTACAAACAATCGTCCATCGTAATTATAACTTCAATAATTACGATGCATTCCGTATTCCATTGAATTCACTCCGTAACAGTCGCAGTGCCCCAATTGTCACGCCGCCGATCGCAGTAATGCATTTTACGTAGACACATGTAATGTTTGCATAACATACAAGGAACGCTGAAAAATCGCAGGCGTGAAAAAGGCTTACTTAACTTAAAATTACGCACGTAAGGCGGGATGATCACACTCGGAAACACGTAAATCGCACACTTTGAGAGCGCACTACTCACTAATTTTATCGTGCATTACAGCTACTTACATGTATTATTACACAGCGGATTTATATTGGTCTCTGCCCTCGCTAACAACCGAGAGACTCGCACTCTCCATCTCTCACTCTCAGGAACGGCAATCACGGTCCGTAAAAAAGTATCTCTTTCGTATAACAATGTTTCCGTGACACCGTATTTCTGGATACGAAAATTCAATCTAAACTAACTGTAAATTGTCAGGACAGTTTCTATCTTTCACTTATATTATTCTCGTGTCAACTTACGTGATTCAACGTAAACATGATTTAAGCATTCATCGCATCTAAAACACATTATTATTAAAAAATCCCTATCTACTCAAATTTACAGCAACGATCGAGGAGTATTTGGAAACATGGTGGAAATTCTGAAAATCTGAAAGATCGCGTGAGATGCTTCGCCTAACAGCAGTGAATGATCGTCCGCTACAAACTAGTTGACTAACTAATCGGAGATACGTATAGACCTAGATTATGATATCGTGTTCCCTCCGTCTCGCGGAACTCCGGAAACGTACACATTCTGTGGTTTCTCGCAATGATATCGAGCAATGATATCGGGAATATGAGAGTCGTGTGTGTACAAACTGATTGTCGCCGCGACTTACAAGTTAAGCCTCGCCGCCGCTACCCGATGGGGAGACGATAAATAAATAAATCAGCGATAACGAGAGCTAATCGATTTCGAGACCGCACTGCGCAAGTTCGTTGAGGATGCACTAACGCGGATGAGATACCGCACGTTGGAATAACGCAGACGATACCATTACATCAATTTATCACAAACATCTACTTCCAATTTGAATAATTTTCAAAACAATCAATAAATTCACAAATAACATTTCGATAATATACATGGTACTGCGCTGGTGATTTTATTTCTTATGCAAAATTCCAAAACGCTGGAAATAATTTGCATATATGCCAATTATGTTTGATTTCGCCATTAATCCTATAATACGCGCGCAATTATGGCATAATAATTCATGCAAAATAAATTAAGATTTAACGATTTTGCTTCCCAATTCTAAACTGTTATATTTAAATAAAAAAAGCGTCATTTTTATTATATATTATCTGCAAAATTTGTTATACTTTGATTAATATTAAACCGACGCTTACAAAATTAATTTAATTATATATTCGAGAATCTCATGCTCGTGTTTTTTTAATTAATATTATGTTATTATTAGAAAAGACATGTTATTGTGAAAAAATCCAATATTACATACATTTTTGCTTGAAAAGTAATTAAAAGCGACGGCTGCTAATAACCACGCGCGCATATTTACGGATTAATGAAAATCACGTTTCCGGAAGAACCGTTCGCCATTCAACAATTGGCAGATCACGCACACTCGTCTCGCCGAGTCGAATGCTTTAAGCATTCGAATTGCCTTGCTGTCATTACGTGCGATGCCTGCCGAGTCGCACAACATGAACAAAATGCATGATTCGTCGCTAGACATCAGAGAGAGAGACACTTTCCATTTCCGAGTTGCAGTTTTCGGTGCAAAAATGAGGTCCAAAGACAAGTTTGACATTTAAAACGTTAACGATCCACGTGTTAAATTTAAATAGATTTTATAAATTACAGACTTACCCCATTTTTGCATTGAACAATTTTATTTGCTTCTTGTCTTGCATTTCGACAATAAGGTTCATTCAATTTTCGCTTAACATCAACTTTTGATTGATTATCATAAGAATAATCGGATGGCACTGGTATTCTCGATGAAAACCCCCTTCCCACCCTATCTCAATAAAATTATTATGAAATATGTGTTTCCTTTATGAGTTATATATGTTAATATATAATATACCGTATACACAAGATTGTCTATGGCACAAGGAACGACTTTGTGTATAAATATAAATCCTCGCTTCCTGGGTGCATCACTGATGTGACAGGAATAACGAAAACGTCATATGTGGCGCACTTATACGTAACACCCGGCACGTGTATGCAATGAACTTGGATCGGTCACGGGCGTTCAATTCATCTCATCCGCGTGTTACGTGAGAATCAAAAGCAAAAATAATGTCAATCAAGATTTTCACAAATTTTATCGAAGAGAAAATTCCCATCAACGTGAATTGCCATTCTCGCCTTTAAATCACTTTCACGGACAATAGAAATAATTTTTTTTAATGTTGATCTTTTTATTCTTCAAGAGCTTCGTTCTATATCGAAATTCATATATGACATTTATCATTCAATTATGAAAAGGATAATGGAACTGATACACAAAGACAATATTAGCGATATATTTAAGAGATCCACTTAAGATATACTTGAGAATATATTTGATTAATCGAAACACACAAAACACAGATTGACGAGCCAGATGGCAATAGTTATCGATCAAACTGCTTTAGCAGAATCTTATCAATTATCGTGCTCAGACCCACGCAAGTTTAACCTCGTTTGTCCACGGTCTTAATAACGAGTGCGCTACGCGAATTAATGCGCCGCACAACTAACAATAGATAACGCATACTTCTGTCGCGGTGTCGTACCACGCGCACGGATTTCATCCTATGTAACGAATTACATAATGAGGAGAACAAATGACATTCCACCACGTGGACATGAGATATTTGCGATTACGTGGACACAATATCTTGTCGGAACATAACATTCCGCGAACACAGATATTCATAAAGAAAAACAGGAAAAATAAAGAAAACTGATTTGAATGGAAAGTTTTGCCTGTACAAGCGGGAAAACAAATTTAAACAGTGATAATACACAATTACGTGATAAGGTGGCAGTCGCATTTGTGAATTGGATGAGGCGAATATGTACAATTTGACACGTATATTGCTGATAACATTCGAATAACTTCTAACGTGTTACGGACAATGGAAAAGTTTGGTCGACGATTCGCGAAAGAAATACATTGCGAGTGTGGTCACGAAGAAAACCATCGATGACCAAACTCATCGAACGTTATGCATTTAAATGAAATGTCGTTGAGCATAAATTATGAATGATGTCAGTGATTTATGGGCTTTAGCTCACCTACCTTGGTTTTGGTGTCATGTAACTTTTAACATGCAAAAATGTAATATGCATCACTTAGATAGATGAGCTGCCTCGCGCGATAAATGAGAATCTCTCGAGATTAATTATCGGTCATATCGATTGATTTGAACGATGACAAATCAAGTGGGAACAATCAGATAAAGTCTGCTGCATCACAATGAGCTAAATATTCAATTAAATTTTTATTTCTAACAAAAAGCGATTTTATCGGAGAATAAAAATGCAGACTATATCCATAATTAACAAAAGCAAAATATTGAAATAGTGAAAATAACGAATAAATGACATAGTTAAAAATAAAAATAAAATAAAATAAACATAGTTATAAAAATATCTTACAATTTTCATACTTGAGATATCAACCCCTTATGCTTTTTGGCAGAAAATCGAAAGAAGTCAATTGAATCGCGTGAGAATAAAGCATACGTCGGCAAATGGTGCCGTCGTGCGAAATGGTAACGTTATCAGATATCCTATATCTTTATATTGTTCAAACATTAGTCGTAACACGTCGTAGTAATATTATGATTGTTCAGCGCTCCTTGCGAGAGCACACGTCGATTTTAGCCACGCCGCGCCGACAGGCTATAGTAGTGCCAAGGTCGTGCCGTTGGCTTTTCTCTCGACATGCCATCGTCATGCTATTTCGAGGATTTTCAGAAAACGTCGCGCGATTCTAACGATATACCAAAACGTATATTGACGTCCTCCATTGTAGACGATGCAAAATAGCTTTGAAGTAATTAAGCAATTTATAATGTATTATTTCCCAATTTATCTCGTTTTCGAATTTACATTTGAAAAGAGCAGCAACAATAAACCAATATTTTAACTAGTCGAGAGTATAATTATTATTAACTAAATATTATTTGCAATTTGACATTATTAAATGTCATATTATTAAAGTTAAATATTAGTAATCAAATCAATATTGCATCGCAATAAATCAGCATGAAAAATGTAGAGTGTTCCATGATCATATTTTCTTAATTTGAATGATACATAGTCTTTACGCAAACTAATTTTAATTTTTCTTATTAAAAAAATTTTAATTTTTCAGAATTATTAATCAATTTAATTATTAGGACAATTATTAATTACTAATTTAATTATTATATACTCTTGTAATATAAAAAATTAAAGACACCAAACTAATTTTTTTCTCGAAATTATCTTTTAGGAAAAATCAACTTTAGCTCCTTCAGCTTTGAAACTGAGAACGGAAATTTTACAACATTCCAATGTTAAACCGAAGAGTTAAATATAATTTACCAAGAACGGCAAAAATACTCTTCCATTGCATAACGCAGCATGCGATAAACTTTCGTTGACGCAGAAGTGCTCCGTACATCCCGTCCGAGTGTGCCGACGACGCAGGCGACTACACATGCACGAAATCTCGTATCCGTCACCATGCCAGCAGCACCGTTACATCGTGTCACACGTCGGTGTCACTGACATCAACGTCTAGGGTTACCGGAGCCTTTTAATCGGTCTGTAGACTAATTTATTTTAATGTCCCATTTTGTCATTTTCCACTTTCTAGCTAACATCAACGTTAATTAAATTCCATTTAAAAATATGGTTCAATTATATCGTGACAAATAATTAAAATATAATTATTTGTCTCTTAATAACTTCTATAAAGAAAGAAAATTCACGACTGCGACTTTTGCATAATTTTACTCCAATTATTAACAACCGCGATATTTTCCCCTGAATAATAACTTTGTTTTCTAAAATTTTGTGCCATTTTATAATTACAAATTTCATTGCGGTCGATATGATCTCCTTTCGAGTGCTTGCATCCTAATCGGAAGTAACCCGGTTTCCGGCAGTGCTCGACCCACTTGTTTTAGCTCCCCGCTCGGTAACTCTATCCACATTGATCACGTCATGCATCGATTCCCGCGCCTGTCTTTATCCGATAAAAAAAAATCGCGATCATCCGCATTAAGGAAATAGCGTGTAATATCGCATCAACGCAAGTCTGGATCCCATCATTTCCAGAAAAACAATGATGTAATACTCAATATTTCAGCTCAATACTTCCACGCTCATCACAATATTGTACGGATAGCATTGCGTTATCGATTACGCACGTCAGCTAAAGTATTTAAAATCCATAAATATATTCGCGAGCTTCATGGAGTGGTAGCAAAAGAAAAATACGTAAAAACTATAAAAATAAAGTAAAAAAAAAATTTGATTAAATATCTACAAAACGCATAACATTGTACCAATAAATTAATCATAACTCAATTTAACTCATCGTGTTTATATAAATATACGTGCAAATATCATAAATTTAAAAGTTTTTTTGGTAGCTTCGATAAATTAAAAACTTTGAATTGCAACAACAAATTAAATAAATAAAGTGTTTTCGAATAATTTCTAAAACAGAATTGTAAATATCGCTTAAATATCGCAAGATGCGAATGCACTCTTTAACGTGTACTCTTTACACAAGAATGAGACCTCCAAAAGTGCATGTCCTGCGCATGAATCGCGATATTATCATTCGGAAGAGCCGTGTCATATGATGCTCCTCTTCGTGATTGCGAAACGCGAAGCGGATTCGGGTCGACGATCGCACGCTGATCAGCGGCGAATGATGAAGTGGTTAGGAGAGGATTGCGGATGGGAGCGCACGTGTGGCACCGTGGCGTACGGGCCACACGTGGCACGTGATACGCAGCGGAATTTAAATAAAACAAAACAAAAAAAACTGGGGAAAAGAGAGATCAAGCACGATGTGCGCTATGTAAATTATACAATCTTTACAATAGGATTTATTTAAATTAATATTTACAAAAAATGAGATTTTTGATATATCCATTAATTAATTCGATCAACTCATCGACTGCGCTAGATCCGGGTAATACAAGTCCGATTTTCGGGGTGCCTACGTGTATAATCGCATTTATAGCGGCTAACAATCGGCTACGATTTACAAACATAATAATCACAAGGCGAGAAAAATCCTCACTTTACAATACTTCTCGATGCAAAATAGCGATAATATTGGTTTTGTATTTTTCTTT